TCGCGTTAGAATGGAAATTTAAAATTTTTGCTTCGCAAATAAAATTCGTTGGAACGCGAATTTCCTTATGCGTCCCATCCTATAAAAAAATTATGCACTATATAGTACTGAATAAATGCGGACGGAATATATAAACTTTCCCGTGCCTAACATACAGAAATGGTACTACTAGGGAGTGTATTTTCCTATATTTTCCATATTAACAGTCATAAGATGATTTTCTAATGAATATTTTTTCATAATGGAAGGAGCACTCTATATAAAGTTACAGCTATTCAAAATGCACCACATTTTCACTTTGAAGCTGTGATTATCTATCAATATCACTTTAAAAGACTTGATAAGTATAAAATAATTTAAGCTTATAAAAAGTTCCTAATAATAGAATTTGTAAATTATTATTTCATAAATGCAGGAGAAATTTGTGACAGAGATTATCAGTCATATTGTTCCTAAATAGAATTTTAGGAATTTGATAACAAACTTTAACCCAATATTTGGCACGCCATGTTGAACAAAAGTGTACTATATTTTGTTGTAATAATTGCGACAATTGTATATATATATATATTTACAACAAAATGGTGTCCAGCATGGCGTGCCATATGTTTCTCCTTTTTTTCACTTCCAAAAAAAAAAAGATTTTTCTCCCATGTGCACAGTAATAGCAGAGTGGAAGTTTTTTGGTATACGAAATGTTATACAGCCCCTGAAACTTCACCAGTATATAGTAGTTACCTCTCTAAATTGGAGATCAAGTTCATATCCAATTCAAATCTAGTTTATCACTTACTTTTATTGCCAGAATGTTTTCCGTGTATTGTAAAGTTACATTGCACAATATAAAAAATTATGTAACATTCAAATTTCCACTATGCTAACAGTAATACGTCCCACTTTTTATATAGAGGGTCAAATTTCATTTGTAGATCCACAGATCACACGTGACAAAATAGTTTTGATAGTAATAACAAACTGGTGATCATGTGACATATGATTAAATTTTTATTGGGTAAATTTGAATTTTTTGAATTTTAAAAAATTTTTTTATAGTAATAATAACAATATTATTATTATAAACCATTTTATGGGAGGAAATAGCATCTTTGTTCAATTTCATAATCTAAAAGGGTTAAATTTCTTCTGAACTTAAAACAAAATTTAGATCTTCTTAATCCCATCCACCAGAAGAAATGAAATGAAAGTTTTATTCAATCAATTGTCCAGGCCAGATGAAGAAAGAAGTCACAAAAATTTTGGGTGAAAATTTTTAATTTTCATCTATTGTTTATTACTACTGTCAACATTATTTTCCACATCACCATCATCATAATCATCACCATCATCATAATCATCACCACCACCATCACCATCACCATCATCATCATCATTGTCATTGTCATCATCATCATCATTGTCATTGTCATTGTCATCATTGTCATCAACATCTACCTCATCAACCACTTCATCATCCTTATTCACTATTGTAGTAGTAATAGGTTTAGTATAATTATAATTCCATCCATCTAAAGGTGGTGTTTCTGTAGGAATTTTCATTTTTCCAGGAAACAATATTTTTGAATTATTAAGCTGAGCTTCTTTAAATAATCGTTCATCTACCTTTTCTAATTCAATATTCGCCTCATTTAACATTCAATATTTTCTTGCTAATTCAAGCTCTTTTTGTTCTTTTTGATGTCTACAAAATAATTTCCTGCTCGTTCTATCATTTCATGTCTTTCCAAATCTTCTTGTGTTAATGATGACAAGTCTGGTTTCTCAGTTTCGTAAAGTATTTGTTTAATTACTTCATGCCTTTTATCTGTAGACACCTTAAAAAGAAAACCAGATCTAACAAAAAAACTTTCTATCACTGGGATCACAATACACTCCTTTGTCAAGAAACTTATCTCAATATGCTAGGGATTGGTAGAACTTATTTTGAACATATCAGAAATCACCTGATAAATAATGGTCTTCTACCAAGAATTCATGGCAATATTAAAAGAATGCCTCAATGGAAACTAAAATGGTGATTGATAAAAATGTTGCAGGAATAGTAAAGAATTTTCTGGAAAATTATGCAAAAGTCCATGGATTACCAAGTCCAGGAAGAAGTATCAATAGAATAACCCAATCAATTGTATTCTTACCAGCTGAAATGAGTTACAAATCAGTGCATAGAGATTTTCTAGCTGGTCTGGAAGAAAACAGCAAATTGAAATCCTTAAAATATGATGCATTCAGAGAGTTATGACATTAATTGACACCAGAGATTCAAATTATGAGTCCAAGGACTGATTTGTGTGATACTTTTCAACATTTTAGAGATGGTTTACATTATAATGCTTGACAAGAAGAAGAAGCCAAAGAATTACTTAAAAGATTTAAAGAACATCTGTCTAAGGCTAAACTAGAAAGAAATTATTATAATAAAAACACTAAATTGGCAATATTAAAAGAATGCCTCAATGGAAACTAAAATGGTGATTGATAAAAATGTTGCAGGAATAGTAAAGAATTTTCTGGAAAATTATGCAAAAGTCCATGGATTACCAAGTCCAGGAAGAAGTATCAATAGAATAACCCAATCAATTGTATTCTTACCAGCTGAAATGAGTTACAAATCAGTGCATAGAGATTTTCTAGCTGGTCTGGAAGAAAACAGCAAATTGAAATCCTTAAAATATGATGCATTCAGAGAGTTATGACATTAATTGACACCAGAGATTCAAATTATGAGTCCAAGGACTGATTTGTGTGATACTTGTCAACATTTTAGAGATGGTTTACATTATAATGCTCGCCAAGAAGAAGAAGCCAAAGAATTACTTAAAAGATTTAAAGAACATTTGTCCAAGGCAAGATTAGAAAGAAATTATTATAATAAAAATACCAAATTAGCAGAAGAGCAAAGAAAATTAGTTAATCAAAATTATTCCAAGAGTAAAATGCAATATTGCAGCATTGATGCCACTGCTCATTACAGTTATGATTGAGCCCAAAATGTTCATGTGCCACATTTAGATCAACAAGTAAGTAAAATTTATTATCTTAGTCCATGTAAGGTTCATTTATTTGGTATTCAAGATGAAGCAGTAAGGGAACAAATTAATTATGTTCTTAATGAAAATGAGATTATAGGAAAAGGACCCAATGGAACTCTTAGCATGGTTTTTGATGGAATTAAGAAATTGAACAAAGGTGAAAAGTATTTAAAGATTACTTGTGATAATGCTGGTGGACAAAATAAAAATAATGTAACTGTTTGGTTTTATTTATATTTGGTAATTTGTGGTTATTATGAAAGTATTGAATTGAATTTCATGGTTCCTGGGTATACCAAATTCAAGCATGATGGTAATTTTGGCATGATTAAAAAACTCTACAGAAGAACAAGAATAGATTGTCTTGATCATGTGGTTGAGGTAATAAAAAAGTCTAGTCTAGTAGGATTGAATTAAGCTCAATGTTATGAAGGTGGAAGAAGTTTTCAATACTTAGATATTAAAGCAATTTTGGGAATATATTTTAAGAAATTACCAAGCATCCAGAAATATCAACATTTTCTTTTTGAAGCATCTAATCTTTGTACAATAAAAGTTCAAGAAGTTGCTAATGGACTTTCTACTGAATTCAATTTATTGAAAACCAAGAAAACAGATATTTTGGAAGAAATTAGAACTTTATTTATTTTAGTGTTAACACCACCTCCTTTGGATTACAAAAGACAAGAATATCTTTACCAGAATATTTGTCCATTTGTGAAAGATGAATACAAAGATATTACTTGCTCAAGACCAATCTATACTGGCAATGAATAAAATATTAGAATAAAATCGCCTCTATGACTCCTTACTGTCATTAAGTTTAATAAGTTTAATCTTTTGACAAATATTGTTACTTTTAAAGTAAAAAGTACTAAAATAATTATTTACTTAACATACTCTCATCAGGAAATTAATTTAGTGTAAACTTGTGTAAATCTTATGATGCCAACATAATATTGTGTAAATCTTATGGTGCCAACATAAGTTTTACACTTTTTTATTATTAAACTTACGATTGATACATGCAAATTTTTTTTATATTTTCTGGATGCTAAGGATATAAGTATATTAAATGAATAAATAAAAAAGGGAATAAACAAGAAAATCACGACAAATATCCTAAAAGAACAACAACAAGCAAATAAAGAACTATTAAACAAAATTGCTGATTTAGAAAAGCAGTTAGCTGATAAAGATCAAGA